ATTTTCTTAGTAATGATTTTAGACTGGGTTGTCAAACTGTGTGCAGGCCATGCCCAACCCAGCTCCGCAAAGGGGAAAAACGCAAGGAGACGTCACGTGACGCGGTGAGTTTGACACTCGTGTTTTAGGCGGTATTCATCAATCCAAGTGTTCTTTCAGCAATGGCCCTGGCCAGCTAGAGAATTCTGGGAATTAAAATCCTTACGTTGTCGGGGGAGACATCCAGGTTCCAAAAAACATAGTGCCTTTGATACAGGGGAGAGCATATATAAAAAAAACACCTCTTTGTAAATATTTTAAGCAGCCATGTCATTTGGAGGGATTGCGTGGTTGGCTTGGAAGCTCCAACCCCACTAGCTCGGTATAGGCGGCTTGGCATATACTGCACTTCTGCAGGTTACAAAGCATCATTTCTGGAATTTCTGCAGAGCCCTAATGCATAAGCACAAAGTTTCATTAGTTTCTCACTAGTCATTAGTTTCTATCTGTGAGAAAGCTCCTCAAAGGACATCTAAAATTGGCTTAGCTCCTGTGGCACGGAACACATTTTGAGTTTTTTTTAGAAATTAAAAATGTCACAGTGCAAATGTAAGCAGTTTCTAGCCCGTAACCACAGACGTACTATTTTGGATACGCTATTACAGACACGAGGTCATAATGGCCGCTCATATAATTTTCTTAATCTATGAAAACAGGTGGGGTAGGTTGTTAAATTTACTTCATATAGTTACAATTTTCATTTAATGATCAAATTAACCAATTTTATAAATTGAGAAACAAATATAATGCAATGTTTGCAACGTCTTTTATAGCCTTTATTACATATTGGTTTCTTACACATATAACATAAATTAAAAGTTAACTTTTTAACTTTGGATCACAGAACACGTTTTTCTTTTTTCATCTAAATTTTCATCTTGCGCCATTTCCTCTACTTGCAGAATTTTTTGAATTGAATCTTTCAACTCTTGGCATTTTTTAATGCAATCTTCTCATCATTTCATCTCTAAGCAATGTTTCTGCTTAATTGTTTGACAAAGTTGAACCTGGTTATTTTCTTATTGGTGTTACCACAACAATTGTAAAGGATTCTGAAAAATATTGCCATAGGCCATCTTCTGGTATGCGTTCCACTAGAATATATGGCGCACTTTTGGTCTAATGAATCAACATCTCCTTTATTACTGTTGTAGTAAGTAATAATTATAGATTTGTTGCTATTGGGGTCCGTGTATTCATTATGATGCACCAAGGATACTAAACATACTGTACGATTTTTCTGTGGAACATATGACAAGAGGATTATTTCTTTTGTAAATGTGTACATGGAAGAGCCAATAGCTTTCCTTCGATGCGGAAGAAATGAAGGAGGAATTTCAGCTTTAGTTTTCTTCAGAGTCCCTACATAAGTCAAGCCTCTGCCTCTTAATTCGTGAACTACCTCAATCGAACTAAATCAGTTATCAGTGGTTATATTTCTATGTGTACGAAATAGAGGTTCAGCTAACCTCAATACAGATTGAATAGGTTTGGAAAATTTGTGGTCCTCCTCTGATAAAGATTGTCCATCTGAATTCTTGCCTACATATAAATAACCCTTGAAAAAATAGCTATTGTGAGAATCTATAAGGCATAAGAGCTTTAGCCCATATTTGTCAGGTTTTAATGGAAGGTACATTTTGAATTTGCATCTCTCAGGAAATCCGGTTAACACTCATCAATGGTGGCTGACGTTCCAATTGTATAAGCCTCCTGACAATTTTTTACAAATTGTGCAAAAATTTCTGCAATCAAGCGGTGGGATCCAATGCGCATCGTTCCTTTCGGTCAGCTGAATCAAATGCATCGAAGAACGGCAAATCTGTTTCGATCATTACACATCTAAAAATTTCTGGACCAGTTCCATCAGTAGCAAGAAGACTTTTTCATGGTTGGATCTAAAAATTGATGTATAGAGCAGCAAACCAAAAAAATGTATTGATCTCTATCAAATCCATATCGCGCAGGTCACTTTTTGTTTCTCCGTCCTTGAACTTCCATCTTTCTGCTCTAATTTTTACATTGGTCCACTGAATGATGGCACTAATAATTTCTTCAGAAAATAATAATTTCCAAATCTTGAGGGGAGTAGGTGAATTTCCAAGGTTTCTAGCTGCTGGCCGTATATCAGGTAATTGCAGTACAATATTGTGACTAGTGGTTGTGGATCTATAGCTTCTAAAAAGTGCCGAAGTCCATTGAATTTGAAATTGAATTTGTTCTTGCCATATAAATTATTGCATGATGTAGATAATACCTGATCATCAATTTCATCGGGAGCTTCATCATCACTGATGTCAGAATTGGTGGTGGCGGCAGGTTCCTCATCATCCCTTACAAAATTTTTGTTGCGATCAGATTCTACTTCACTCAGATCACTCTCTGCGTTTTCATACCATTTTAGGACAGTGTCTTCAAAGTCTTGATCACCAAATCACACTCTTTTTGGCGAAAAACTTGGCCCCACATTATTTAAAAAATATACGTTAACAAAGATCTGCAGTCAAAATGACTGAAAATCAAATTCAAACGCTGCTACAGAAAACACCAAATGACTAATGCAAGCGCGATGCTGCACACACTCTTATTGGCGGGAAAACAAAAGCTATTTGCAACTGGAATGGCCCATTTCTTAAAACAGGGGTGTTACGAACATTTTAGAAAACTGTTGCGGTCACTATGACCGTGAGTCTGTCGTTATGCGCTAGCATCCCAGATGCAGGCAGGTTAAGAAGCAGATTGAAACAATAGGTAAAGAAATGATACGCAGCTGATTCTTATGGCTACTTTGCAGTTATTTCGAATCAAGATCCATGCCAAGCTTGTGAAATAATTACAGAAATTACATTTCTTGTTGCCAGCTTCCATGGGAATCATGGCTCAGGACCAATTTCTGCAAAATTACCTGAAAATCTTTGCTGCATAACTTTATAGCCTGTTTAAACTGTACCAACCTCAGCAGAAATTTGTCTGGTAATGTAAGAAATACTATGTGTGTGTGTTCCAACCTTGTATAGCAATAGCAATAGCACTTAGACTTATATATCACTTATGCTAGATAGACTCCATGTGTAAAATAGATGCTGGGGAAGGTAAATGCCACCCTACAAGGGTTTGTGAATCCAACAGGTCAGTAGGTTTCTGTAAACCATGTAAATCTCAGTAGTCTATTCACTTTGAAGCCAGCATTTTTACCATGTTGTTGAACAAACTTGGTTATATGAAACTAAGCCAAATATTATATATATTATCTTACTTTAGTGATGTGTATGACCCAAGCCAAGTAGCTTGTCAATGGGACTCAGGTTCCAACTTCAAAATCTGGAACAAGCAAGTCCTGCTTCAAATATGTTACAGTACAGCCAAGTTCTTCATTGGATCATTGCACACTTTCAAAATTGAAAGATTTGGCAAATTATTTGTAGTTGGGCCATTCAGTAGGTTCAATTCATACTAAAAAAAAAAGACACTTTGAAATACACAAAACCTCTCTGTAAAAGCACCTTACAACTTTTCTTTGGATTATGCGGCAATTGCAACTGTTTGTTCTATTGTGTTCCACTGCCAATTCTTTTAAAGTTCACACTGAATCGAAAATTATTTTACTGCATATGAAGAATTGACATCGCAATGCAGAGGCTGGGTGGGTGCACAGCCATCAATTAATAATTATGTCTACGTGCAGTAAGATAGCATTGGAACACTTCATTCTTCAAAGTTGTAAGACCATTCAAAATGTCACCTTTATTTTATTTAAGTTTAAATCTGTTAAATGTGTTCACCTGCCTATCTTAAATTAACTTCTCTTTCATTGTATATGCTAGTAGGTTGCCAATACAGTTGCTGCCCCTTGCCTAGTTTATAGGCCAAGCTTTATCTTCTTTGGGCAGTTTGTCCCCATTTCTTCAGTGCTGCCATGGATAACTGAGGGAAAGGACAGCTCTCACTCAAGTGCTAAATCTAAGCAGTTTATCCAAACTATTCAGGAAAAGCAAGCCCTTCCTTCTATGTTACCCCATGACTGAGACAATGAGGAAATGAGAATGATAGAGCTAGTAGGTAAAGACAAAACATTCAGAATGGTGTAACTACAATACCTTTTAACAGCAGATACTGCACACCTGAGGACCAGCTCTCTGGAACGGAAGGGCAGCTTTTGCTAATACTAAGTATAAAAGGATTCCAAAGTCCATTTTATCTAACTGATCCAAGTGCTAAAATGCTGCGGATCTAGAGCAGCCGTTCCAAAATTGTCCTTTATGTAGATTTACTGTCATTAAATGCTTTTCAAGGCCACTGTAATGTAGCATCTGTGGATAAGTTGGCATCTGTAGAATCTCATTTTTTTTTTGCAAGAGAACAAGATCCAATCTCAGGTTGCCATGAGATCATGATATCTGAAAGCTCATGAGGGTCTATGCAAGAATGTAAATTTTTTTAGGAGACCTGGTGATCTCTCAAGGTTTTGAAATAGATGGAAGAAACATCCTTCTTTCCTTTCCTCCCTCCTGCCTGTAACCACACCAGGGAATACAAGCGGCCCCCAGATTACAAGCTGGATACCAACCTGAATCTGTGGCATACTTATAGATGCATTCTCTCAGAAGAATGACCTTTGATTGATTTTGACTTGAGTGAATTTGTTTATGTGAGAAATGTGACTCATATTATTTGCTGCAGCTATGTGTACATATATAAAATATTCAATTCTGTCTCCATAATGGCTGATATTGTAGCTCCAAAGCTTCTTTGCCCTTTCCTTGTTGTGTATAGAAATAACATTATGCTGAAAAGTTTTGGAACTAATGGAAGGAATTAAAACAGAGTTGCTACATAAGTAGCTGCAGGGTATTTAAAATAACGCTCCCTGACCTTTGTTGACTAACTTCTAGGCCAGGGGTCTTCAAACTTGACAGCTTTAAGACTTGTAAACTTCAACTCCCAGAATTCCTCCTCCAGTCATGTTAACTCAGGAATTCTGGGAGTTGAGGTCCAAAAGACTTAAATTTGCCAAGTCTGAAGACCCTTGTTCTAGGCAGTACAGTCGATTCCCTCTTCTCCTGTGAATTAAAGTATTTTCTTTAATAACTAGATGTTTGTTATTTGTGAGAATTAGTTCTCATTGTTTGATTAATAAGGGGTTGGGTATAACTGAAAGTCTCAGTTTCACAGAACTTAAAACATCTTTTGTTTGCTAGAGAATCTCCTTAGCTAATCTATTAGTGAACAACATTAGCAAACTAAATGTCCTGTAGAAGCAGCTAATCTGTTCAGAAGGAAGTCCACATGTTATTCATGAGTGTTGGTCTGATTGTAGCCTTGTGAAAAGAAAACCTGGTTATCAGAAAAACAAAACGTTTCTAGTGTTGTGTTCTACCTGTATTGAATAAGCAGAATGCTTATGTTTCCTTATGTATGTTTCAATGGTCTAAGTGAAAATTCTGCACAGATGTTTTTAAGGCAACCTTTTTATAACTTAGAACTTTTATCAGTGTATTCTTAATGTTACTCTATACCTTTCTCCTGAAATAAGATATTGCCCACGATTTAATGATCCCAAGTAGGCTTTAAAAAAAAAACACACAATAAAAACAGAATCATAATGCTTCTTCACAATTGTAATGGAAAGAGAGGTTCATCAGCATCACACAGTGCTGCTGCTTTCTCCACTGGAAAATTCCCCAGATGCTCTCGGCAACGTGAACTTGACATACCTGGTCCGCTCCCACCCACTCCTGATGCGCTGCAGTCTTTGGCTCATGCAAGGAAAGTTGAAAAAGAGCTTCGCTAGGATTATGGTGCATGGCACTAGGAGGGTGAGGGTGAAAGTGGGAGGCAGGTAAAACTTGTACTGGTTTTCATCAAAGGCTCTTGTCCAGCCATAAGTCAAGGTGTGGAATGTGCTGATCACCAGAGCAACGAAACCAAGGGTAGACTGAAAAAAATAGGGAGGAATAAAGACCTGTTATTTTCTGTAACGTTAACTTTTATATTCTACTTCAGGGTTGCCAAACTAGATTTCATTGAGGGCCACAACAGGGTTGTTTGACCTCGGGGCTGGCTGGGCATGGCCAGGATGGGCGTGGCCAGCTTGACGCCACTTGTGTCGGAGGTGCCTGTGGTGGCTTGACCACTCTGCCAGCGAAAATGGAGCTTGGCCCTCCCGAGCTCCGTTTTGGCTGGCAGAGGGTTGAAGGAAGCAGTCCTAGCCTAAAACGGAGCTTGGGAGAGCTGCACACAGCCCTCCTGAGCTCAGTTTTCACTGGCAGAGGCACCGTGGGCCAGTCTTTTGATGTTTCCAGGGTGCCCTTGTGGGCCATATTTAAGCACCTGAGGGTTGGATCTGGCCCGTGGTCCTTGAGTTTGACATCCCTGCTCCACTTCAAACATACATCCATATCTGGATATTTATCCTGATTCACTGCAGTCATTTAGCACTGAATCCCTTAACAGAATTTAGTCCCAAGTAAACCCACAAGCCATTAAATTACACATGAAAAATGTCCCAGAAATGTGATCATATTAATTCTGTAGACGTTAATGAACACATAACGGTTAATTTCGTTAGGATATAGTCAAGCCCTTTTCAGTTATTTAGATCAGCAATGGGCACCTACACCCCAAGTCCAATAAGATTTTGAAAAATAATAGTGATAGAGGAAATGGGAAAGCTCTGGGAGAAACTCTGATCCCATTACTATTTGTAAACTGAGCACATCATGGATGCAAAAGGTTCAGTTCTGCCCCTTGAAGAGACTCAAGGTATAACCTGGTAGAGATTGGTTGAGCTAAATGTTGAGATGTGCTTCAAACTGGACGGAGATAAAGCTAGATGTTGGCCTGAACTCTCCCCTCATTAGCCAAAGATGTGAAGGAGGCCTGTGTTTGCAATGACACAGTCAGGGACCGTTACTAATATAGGTTATAAATCGAATATATCATTTGAGACTGTCAGAGTCCCAAGTGATATATCAGATTGCAAATCTGGCTTGCTTTGACTTTTAAAATAAGTAATTTGTAAATATGCAAGGCTGACATACATCGAAACATCTTGCCCTGTGTTGAATTGTAATAGATGGATTTGGCCTTTCTGCTGGAACACTGTTCTAAATAAGAAAGGGAAGGCAGTGCATTCTTTTTTTTAAAAAAAGAATCATTATGGCATTTCTTCTAGAAAAGGAGGATTGAGCAAATACCAGTAAGGAGCAGCAACTGGTAATATGAAATACTTGTCTGGTTTACGAGCAGTTGCCACTTGGAAGATCTGAGGCTGACGTGGCTGAAATCTTTCAGATTGCTTCAATCTCCGTGTCATAAACCCACACATTAAGAGACATATGTAGCTAAGTTAACAGGGCTCTTAGTTCAAGTATCACCTAACCTCCTTCAGACCTAACCCAACATATACCTTGAATCAAAATACTTAACGTGGGGCAATAACTTTGGAGCCCTTGTTGTAATCTTTTAGCAAAGCCTCAGCCAATGCAAAAAAAAAAAAATCAAAAGGATCAACCTTTGTTGGAGAGGGACATGGGTCCCTCTTTATTATTTACGTCGATACATTTAAGCAAATCCATGCAAGTATGGATTTCCCCTTTGCTTATATGCCTTGGTGCGGCTGAATCCAGTCACTGTGACTTAACTGTATCCAGCAAATCATAATTAGAACAAAACCAGGGCTTTAGTCCTAAGAAGAATAAGCATCCTTCCTGAAAGGATCATGGTTTTTTTTCAGCTAGTCTTTTATGTATTTTGCATTATCTTATTACACACAATGGTACCACAGCCATCTCTGAAAGCGCACAAGGCTGTTTGGCAGAAAGATTCCTTGCCTGTCAAAGAGAGTCATTAGCATTGACCTTGAAAGGATTTTGCCTTTCTGGCTTATTACAGGAGTGCTGTAATCAGAACCAGAGCCCAGAAAGCCATGTCAGAGCAGGAAACAGACAGACTAACCTAAGTGGATGTACAGAAGTAATTGGTGACATTGTTTGATTCTGTTAGAAAATTAGGACTTGTTTCAAGACCAGGGAAATCTATTTATATTCTGGGTGATTTTTCTTTTCTTTTGCAGTGCTCTGGTCTTTTTCTCATGAAAGCTAAATCTGTCTCTCATTAAACTGGAATAGCTTCTTGCTAGGATCTCTTTTGACAAGGAGACAGCTCTGGATAGGAAAAAAAACCTCTCTCTTCTTAGAATCAACCGGTTTTATTCACCAGTATCCCTTTCTGTTTCCCTTGTTTTCTTCAGCCATGGGGAATGCCTGCAACTTCTTCACCAGAGCAGCCCGCTGGATGTCAGTTGAAGGTTGTAGTGAACCAATGTCTCTGTTGAAACCAAGGAAACGGATTTCCTACAGGAAATCTTCTTGGTACACTACAGCACAGTCCCCCAACCTTTCTGGGTTGGTGGTCTGGAGGGAGAGAGGGGCGGGCACCTTTATGCGCACAAGCGAATGGGGCCGTGAGCATGTGATGCTCGTGGCGATGGCAGCGCCCACGGTGACAGTAGCATCCGCACAGCACTCATGCAACACTAGCACGAGTGGGTGGTGTGTACACACACACACACGTGCCCACTGGCCAGCCACTCATGAGGCTCAGTGGCCAAGAGGTATTGGGCCATGGCCCACACATTGGGGACTCCTGCACTACAGGATCTTCTTGGTACATTTGTATGCTTTGTGGAATTTTGCCATCACTGAAATAGTTACCTTTGCTGCCCAAAGGGATTTTAAAGCTGTAAAACTGTTATTATTAATATTAATATGTTTTTCTATAGCCACCAACCCTCCCCTCCCCAAGTGACTGAACTTCTTAGGGGATCCCAAGGCTTTTGGTCTTAATTTAATCCCCAGTCAAAAGAGCCAAGTGACTTCGGGCCACTCACTCTTTTCAGCCCCCCAACCTCACGAGGTCGTTGTTGTTGTTGTACAGAAAATAGGAGGTGGGGACGTAATAGTTATAAAATATATGCTGCCTTGAATTGGATAAAATCTGGATGGCCGGTCATCAACATCATGTAATAATTTGAGTTTTTGGATTCTACTTTCTATCTTGCTCAGAGCACAGGGTGGAATTCAACTCATCTAGGACTATTTAATTCAGTGCTGTACAATTTTCGTGCAGCTGGAAGGTTCCCTGTCAAAGTCACAGGATGGTCATTTGGAGCCAAAGGCCTTCTACCCCCTATTTATGTGGGCCTCATTAGCATGCTGGTTCTCCATTCCAGGGATGCTGCCACAGAAGATATATTTATCTACGGTGGTTAACAACAAGGCTGGATAGCGATGAAATTCTTTGAGTGTATATTGAACGGACCCAAGAGCAAGGTCTCCTTCAACACCAGCCTAGCTTCAAGAATTCTTTCTTTCTGAAGAACAACCTTGAACGGTGGCACTTACTTGAATGAAGCTGAATTCCCTCCAGTTGAGTGAGTTAGAGATGGATGGAAGGGAGGTTATGGCAAGTAACGAGAGCAAGCCCAGAGCCATGATGCCAAAAGAGATGTATATCTCCATCCTCCAGACTTCCTCTTCCACCCAGGCGTCTGTTCTCTTCTCCACCTGAAAGTATAAGTGGCAAAGTCATGTTGAATAAACTGAGAAATGGGAAACAGGATGGCGAGCCGAATAATGCCCGAGGGAGGGCTTAATCTCCATATAATGTCTGCCAGCTGCAGGGTATCTGGAAACTTTGGACAAAGGAAGCTTGTCTTCATCCAACTTTTTTTTCTGATCAGATACGGATTCTTAGCCTCCATTTGACATGAAGAAATAGGAGCGGGATTTTTTTTCATAACTGGAAATAGTCACAAGGGTTCCAACAGTCAGTTTTGGCCCGCTCTTACCACTGCCCTAGGCAGCTTCACACAGCTTGCATACATAGTATGGAGCTGTTTTGTAATCATTCATCAATGATAGTGAAGTTTAAATAGTTTAAGCTGGCACATGGTTGACTCCCACAACTGAAGTACAAGTCTTTCAGTTGTGCCACTGGCGATCATCTACAGCTTGCTTCCTATTGCTCTTAATACTGGATATAAGGAGTGTTCACCTGTGTTTTCAATGAAGCACGCTGGGTGCGCGTGTGTTGGATTTTTAGTATTGTCCTCCAAAAGTTTCCTTTAAGTCACTTATTGGCATCTAAGTTTACTTAGGGTTTTGCTACTTATAGGCTGAAAGGAAACTCTTTCTGGATCACAATCTGTTTGGAAACGACTTTCCTAGAGATGTACATGTATCAATCCAATCAACAACTGTATATCATAGCATAAAAATATTGCAAAGGAAAAGCTTCAGAGCTCAGTTAAACTTTGTAATTGTGCCATGAAGCGTAGGGCTGGGGAAAAACTTTTATCAACCAGCAAGATTTGACCGATTCCTTTTCCTGGGGGACACATGTGGCTTGAAGCAAAAATATGAATTGTTCTGCTGCACGATTGTATCCCCCACTTATCTTCACTTACGATCCGGTACCAATAAAAAGAGTGAATCCCACTTACAGTCCCACATAGGTGTCTGGATGAGACTGACTAGCTGGATTGGCAACATAACGATTATTCTAAACCCAGTCACATGTATAGGAGCCACCGAACTGATTTCCCCATATGGTTGAAATGTGGCAAAAAGAAAACAATGTCTATAATGTTCGCCGACCTCTGGAGGGATGTGCTAGGAACTTGGTGCCCGGAAGATCAAACCACACTTTGCCATTTGAAAGATACAGTTAAAAATGGCAAAGCGGCTCCAGTTTCAAGCAAAGACCACAAAAGCATCACTCTCTGAATGCTGGGCTGCTTAAGGGGCTTAATGGGATTTGGTTTAAATGCTTTTAGGAAAGAAGTCTTCAGGCTAATGGAAAAAAAAAACCCTCCCAGAAATGGGATTTGTACTATATTACAGAGAGTGACACTTAGCTCCTTCCATTTATTCTGCTAAATCAATGTGATTCATGAAACTGGGGGGAGAGAAATAACTAGCATAAGAGAAACAAACAGGCCAGGACAACTTGCCTGAGATTTATTTACAAAAATCACCAAAAAGAAACAGGAGCCGAATTAAAAGCTGGGGTGGGGATACTGTGTTCCTAGCAGCAAATACAGGAAGGCGACTGGGCAAAAGATCATGCAGGCAAGCTAGCGTGGAATGAAAAATCTTGTTTTACACTGCATCTCTTATTCACTTACTTAAGTAGTCCTGAGGTCCAATGGCCCCAGTGAAACTTCATCAAGTTTAGAATCTATACTGATAGGAAAAAAATACTGGTAGTTCAGGGTTGAACTATGGGGTCTTTGCTGCTCTCTTGAGCTCGGTAGTTTTCTAGCAGATATTTCATTACCAAACTAGGTAACCTCATCAGTGCAAGACTCTGAATGTTCTGGCCTGGCCTGATATATGAAACAACCAGTGCTAATTTAGAAACTGGAGTGAAATCATTCTATCAAAGTGTTCCATAGAAATCATCTACTCACATCTTAGATGTTAAGGTTAGACATGGATCTTGACTTCCACCCAGAAAGAAACCACTTTTCTAACTTCTCAGAAGGGCAAGGAAAACCAGGAGTCCAGTTCACACAGGATTCCAGTTCCAGTTCACCTTCTAACCCAGATTTCCTCCTACTGGCTCATGTGAATGCTATGTTCAGGATCTCCTTTTCGTCCTTGGAGAATGGGAAACTGGGCTGAATCATTCATTTCTTTGGGAAATGCTTAGAAGCCTAAACTAATTTTGGGGATGGAAAATCCAGAAAATGAGAGTGGAAGGGGACTAAAATCTCATGTTTTGTTGCAAAGCTCAGCCAGTTCTATCTAAATAAGACAGCATGGTTAATCAAAACAAAATGCCAGAACGAACCCCAATTTTGTATCTTTTAATTGTACAAACATCACAACCAGAGGTGGGTTTTCAGCAGGTTCTGAGCAGTTCTGGAGAACCGGTAGCGAAAATTTTGAGTAGTTTGGAGAACCAGCAAATACCACCTCTGACTGGAGATTTTACACTATCCTTCCCCTGCCACGCCCACCAAGCCACGCCCACAGAACCGATAGTGAAAAAAACTGAATCCCACCACTGATCACAACAATGGGCTCTGAGCTTGTTTTCTTGCAAGTGTTTCATTACCTAAGTAGGTAATACCGTGTTTCTCACAAAATAAGGCTGGGCCTTATTTTTTTTTTTTTGAGCCCTGAAAAAATGGCTAGGACGTCTTTTCGGGGGTGAATTAATTTCTCCCCCAACCCCCATGCACCAGCGCCATCTCCAACAACAGCATCTGAGTCGCTCCTGCTTTCCCCCCCAATCCCTGTAACAACAGGAAAAAAAAGATTTTGAGGTACCTGGGAGTGCCGCGCGCTGCGTTTTGGTTTAACCCCGAGCGGCTGGGTGGACGTGAAAAGAGCCGAGCGAGCGCCTCTGCTGCTGCTACCCTTGGTGCTCCAGCCTCAGGCTGTGCAAGTTTGCAAAAGTCCCGGTGCGCAGCCCGTTCCTGCATTCCAAGCGCCCAGGCCGAGCTGCAGCTGTCCCTCTCTCGCCAGCGCCATCTCCAATAACAGTGGCAGCAGCGGCGGGAACTGTGGAAGTTACGGAGGTGGCTCCCCCACCCGAGAAGCGGCTGAAATGCTTCCATGGTTCTCGCTGCTGCTGCCGCTGTTATTGGAGATGGTGCTGGCGAGAGAGGGGCAGCTGCAGCTCGGCCTGGGTGCTTAGAATGAAGGAACAGGCTGCGCACCGGGACTTTTGCAAACTTGCAGAGCCCGAGGCTGGAGCACCAAGGGTAGCAGCAGCAGAGACGCTCGCTCGGCTCTTCTCACGCCCACCCAGCCGCTCGGGATTAAACCAAAACGCAGCGCGCGGCACTCCCAGGTACCTCAAAATCTTTTTTTTCCCTGTTGTTATGGGGACAGGGGAAAAGCGGGAGCAACTCAGATACTGTTGCTGGAGACAGTGCTGGTGCCTCCGAGAGAGGCGCCAGCACCGGTGGGAACCGTGGAAGCTACGGAGGCCTGAGAAGCGGCTGAAACGCTGCCGGATATCCACGCCGACACCACCTACCTGCTTACCCGGGCAAGGGAGCCCTCCGTGCTCCACCATGGTGTTAGGAGCAGCTGATGGTGAGGCGTAGCTGCCCGCGGGGCACTCCTAATGGCAAGTTTCCCCCCCGCCTTTCCCCCCCTCAATTTCGCATGTTTTAAACTAGGCCTAAATTTGGGGGAAGGGGCTTAATTTCATTTTATGCCTAGAAAACATGCTGGGTCTTCCTATGGGGGGGGGGGCTATTGTTGGAGAAACACGGTATAATTAGTGCTAATGAAATATTTGCAAGAAAACAACCAAGCTTAGAGAGCGCCAAGACCACACAGTTCAACCTTGAGCTACAAATATTTTCTTCTTTTGATTACAACTATAGAAAGAGTGAATAGTGGGCAATCCAAACTTCCAGGACTGAATGTGGCCTTCAGCTCTTCTAATCAATGAAGCCCTTCTGAGAATATTTAAAAACTCTAGGGTTAATCCTGATAGAAGCTTAGTGAAGTTTTTTTCTCTCCTTAAAGTAACAATCTCCAAACTCTTTCACTCCCAAATCTAAGAGAAGGCTCCCATGGCATTCTGATCCTGCCCATTTTGTATCACCACTCTACTCCACCTACTGCTGCTCCCATCCTGCCAAAATATAACTATGGGTAGTCCTTGATTTATGACTACAATTGAGCCCCAAATTTCTGTTACTAAGATAGTTGTTAAGTGAATTTTCCCCATTTCACCACCTTTCTTGCAACGGTTGTCCAGTTACCCAGTTGTTAAGTGAATCTGGCTTCCTCATTGACTTTGCTTGTCAGAAGGTTGCAAAAGGTGATCACATGATAGAGCGGGATACTGCAACCGTCATAAATATGAACCAGTTGCTAAGCACCTGAATGTTGATCATGTGACCATGGGGGATGCTGCTAGGGTCATGTGATAAAGGGTTGTAAGTCACTTTTTCAGTTGTGTTGTAACTTTGGTCACTAAACAAATTATTTTAAGTCAAGGATTATCTTGATAGCCCACCAGCTATCACAGGGGAGTCAAACTCAAGGTCTGGGGGCCGGATCTGGCCCATAGGGCGCTTAGATCTGGCCTGCAAGCCCACCCTGGAAACAGCAAAGGATTGGCCCACGGTGCCTCTGCCAGTAGAAAGGGAGCTTGGAGAGGCCACATGCAGCCCTCCCGAGCTCCATTTTTGTGGCAGAGAGCTACAGGAGGCTGTTGCAGCCAAAAATGGAGCCTGGGAGGACCAAAAATGGAGCCTCAATGAGCGACATCAAGCTGTGCACTCCCACCCTGGCCACACACATATTCTTGCCCCCCTCAGGTCAAACACAACCTTGATGTTCAAGTTTGACAACCCTAAGCTATCACAAGCTTGCCTGCTGCTGGATTGAGGCAATTTGGAATGAAGCAGCGGAGCCAGGGATTCCTAAGATCACGCAATGAAAGGAGTAAGCAGCCAGTTTCCCAATCTCCTTTCCTGGGAGTACCATACCTGCTTGACCGCCTCGTTGAGCAACAGATAGCGGTGAGACCGGCGCATGGGTAGGCACAGACTGTAGGCAGCATGCAACGCTGCGCAGAAAAAGCTCAGGAGGCCTATCTGCTTCCGGTGTTGTAGCCACTGGTCGAGCCAGTCAGGGAAACGCCGATACTTTGTGCAGTGGTACAGCTGAAAGATGGCCGCGAGCACTCCGGGAAGGTAGACCAGGGACAGCATGACGTAGGCCACGCAAGGCAAGGTGGTGTTGACGATCTCCACAGGGATCTTGTAGAATTTGTTCTTCTTCTCTCGAATGTAAGGATGCAAGACTTGCCGGATGAAGTTGTAGGTGTAGAAGCAGAGGAAGAGGCCCAGGGCCAAGAAGACAGGGATCTTCCAGGCAGGGAGGAGACGCAGGGGGATATTCTCTATTTCCCGAGCTGAGAACAAGGCACCCATGTCCACTGGCTTGAAGCCCAGGGCGTGAGCAATTTCAGCAACAGCCTGTTTGGCTTCTTGGTTGTCAGAGCAAATGAAGACCTGCAACGAAAGGAGGGGGGGGGGGGATTGTAACCAGGAATCCAAGGCAGTGGCGCAATCCAAGGAATCTTATCAGCATAGGGTTGCCTAGTGGTTAAGGTTTGAGATTTGGGCCAGAGAAGCTCAGCTTTAAATTCCTATTCAACCATGGGATTCACTGCTGATGTGGGGCCATTCCCTTTCTCTCCAACCTACTGCACAGAGTCAAATTGAGTGGAAATCCACTTGTATATTGTACGAGCTCTCAGGAGAAAGATAGGATATAAATGTGGATAGATGGGTAACAGCAACAGCAGCAGGAAGAGCAGTGAAAAATGATTAACCTAACAACGTTTTCTTTTCTGCTCCTGGATGCTTTTATTTCCTGTGGAATAGCCTCATTCTTGAATGCAGAAATAAGCATTTTTCCCAGTGAACCATTATGAACAACAAGAGGTTTCTGGTGAGGGATCTTAAAAAGGTACTGAAGTACTTGATTATATGAATTTTAAGGAATTTATTATAATTTTCTCTAATAATGACTATGTCAGTTACAAGGCCAGTCAGAATTTGATGCCTGGGCCTTGAGGTGCAGAACTATATGCAAGACTGCAACTATCTGGGTAGCGAAAATAATTCAGATATTCATACGGGCATGCTAATTACACATTCTTAGTCATTATAAATATGCATAAGATGATCAGCCATATATATATATATATATGGCTGATCATCTTTTGATTATCTTAGATATTCTATTGGTTGCCCATCTTAGGGGCAGCGTGTTGGTGTAGAGGTAGAGCTCAGGCTTCACAAGCAGGAGGCTGTGAGTTCAATCCTTGGAAGCAGCAGGCATTTCTCTCTTTGGAAGCGAAGAAGAAAAAATATCTGCTGTGAACTCTGCATAGGCATCAAGAAGGGCATCCAGCCAGTAAATGCTCAGCTCTGTTTAGTCACCCTGATTCCAGCTCAATGCAAGGGATTACAAGGTTGCTAAAAGAAAAAAAATTGGTCACCCATCCTACACAAGGTAACTCTGATGACTTAACAATCATACATGTATGATGGGAGATGTGTGTCCGTATCTGTGTGTGTATGTATATATGTATGTATGTATGTGTATATATACACTCACATACATACACACACACACACACACACACACACATAAATATACAGTATATCCTAAATAAATTAATCCAATTTCTAAAAGCCAATTAAAGTTGGGTAGGGCAGGGCCAGAATGGGAAGGGAGGTAGGATCTGTGGTTAATCAACCAACCTCCTCCACTGGATCTTCCCCCGTCACAGTGGAAGTGGTTGATGCTTTCCCCTTTTTCTCAAGCTAAATTCACATAGTTTCCGATGGGCTTCGTCTGGGTCTGAAGCTTACGCAGAACAAACTGGTTGGACAAACTACGACTTCTTCCTAGGAGGGGAGAATCTCGGAATCCCAGAGATGCTGATGTGTCCACAATGTACCAAAGGGAGGGGAAAAAAAACAACGACCATTACCTGTTTGTTCCCATCTCTGGGACCCGACTGCAGGGTCCAGGCTGAAATGACGTTAAATCCTTTGACCACAGTGCAGGCTGGCAAAAGCGAGGCTAGATACTCTGCATTGGATTCTTTGTGATGATTTATTTCAGCATTGTTGCTAACATCCACCAGTACTTTGCCGGAAAGCTCGTTGTTGTAGTCACAGAGCGTGGTGTAGTGTTCTCTGAAAATTGCCACAAAGATGATATCGGCCTTCTTTATGGCGTCTGCCTGGCATGTTACTTCAACTGCAGAAGGAAAGAGGCTGGTGTTGAGCTTCGGGTTCCGGCTTCCGACCGCCACTTTGAAACCTGAGCACACCAGGCGCATGGACAAGGAGCGTGCAAAGTCGCCACTTCCCAAAATCCCAATTGTCCTGCTCCCAGAAGCTGGGGCCAGGCTTAAATTACTGTCCTCGTTCTGATGATTTAGCAAGGGTTTGGCCATGTCGCCTCCTGGCATCCTGTAAAGCTAAAGCAAATAAACACAAGGTCATATTAAACATCCCTATGGGTTGTTTTCATGAAGGCAGAAATATCTGTTTGATTACTGATGTTAAGTCCTACGCTGAAAGTTCTTTGAATACCTCAAATTTTAAAAAAGAATAATTTCTTATATCACAGTACAATGCAAATACTAAATGTCATTATAAGCCTAATCAGTAAATAATTAAAACAGGCTTCATTTGTCATTAAAATTTAATTTGTTATTAAAATGTTGAATTATGCTTAAGTATTAACTCATTAAGAATACACCTACCTACAAACTTTATTTAAGCTTACTTCCAAAATCTTTAGTGTTTCCTGATGAAGAGCTAAATTTTACTTTAAAGGCAAGTCTTAATTTGATTTTATGAATACACAATGTTTAGCAGAATATTTTTAGCACTTGAATAAATATGAATTAGTAAATATTACACATTTCCAGGAGTAGCTCAAAAGAAATAAATTTCATGATGTTTCTATGCTTCTTAGTTTATTTAAAACGTTGTCCAAGAGCCTTTATTGTTTTTGCATTACCTTTAGAGAAAACTCCAAAAACTAATCTGCAGTAAAGATTCTGGAATAAATATAGATTAGAATTGCATTTCATAATATGAAACCCTCTGATTTGAGAAACCATTCCTGTAATTACAGCAGAAACATTCTTACATTATACTCAATTTAATCCAATGAACAAAATTATCAGCTTAAAAAACAGATCAGTGTTTGAGCTCTATTTCAAAAGTTCCTTTTAAAAGCACTCTTAAAAGCTATTCCCTTAAAGCAGGCATGATTGACATGCAGTCCTTTGGATGACCTTGGACTACAACTCCCATTATCCCCTCACTACTGGGCATACTAGCTAGAGAAGATGGGAATGAGAGTCTAAGGACATCTTGAGAGCTAATTGTTGTCCAGTTCAGGCTTCAAACAAACAGAACCTTAGCTGTCTAAGTGAAATTAAGATATATAAATATTCAGTTATGTCAAGATAGAATTTACCTAGAGATTTTTCTCGTGAACCAGCGATGCCTCAAACGTGCAAGCCGTTCTCCCTACGGATAAGAAACTGTCCTCGTCTCTTTTATAGTCTGGCACCTGTGTTTTGCAAACTGGGGGCAGATTTGCAAAGTTTTAAATTAAACATTGTGCTCTCTTGTTTTGATAGGCCAAGACAATGGATGATGCAATACATATAAATCTGAAGCGTTACACCCTTTGAAAGTGTAAGCAAAAGAGTGGTATTTTTAAAAGGAGAGGACCAGCTTAAGTCTGTACTCTCATTAATGGTAGATTTAACTAAGACCATTGTTTGAAGCCAGCATGACTAAGACAGCTTGTTCAAAGGTTCTTTATAAAGGAGTGTGGTCTAGTACGACTGTTTAAAACAGGTGAGTCAGAGACCATGGGTGGTCCACTAAGCCTTTATTTTTGCTGATTCATATGCAGTGCTTATCTGTGGCAAGACGGTCTTGGATAGACAAAGATGACTGTTCCTTTCCAAAATTGGAACTAACGTAAATCCAATGAAAATGATCCCCCTCCTGGGTGCAACAGTACCATTAGTTCTGATTCTGTTTGGAGCTCATGTGATACTGGTGGGGAAAGAGCAAGGTGTTTTTTAAAAAAAAATCCCCAATTTTTGATTGCAATCGCTTGTCCTTTCTTTCCAATCACAGGAGTAGCAAGAAGGACCTGGCATCTCAGTACAGGCAGGGAGAATTAGCCATGGCCCTGGAAGAATTTCTTTAGAGGGTAAATGCAGACAAGATTGTATAAAACAGGGGTATCAAACTTAATTTCACTGAGGGCCACATCGGGGGGGCCAGGGGGGGCATGGCCAAGGTGGGTGTGGCCAGTTCAACATCACTCGTGTTGAGGGAGCCTGTGGGCAGCCCGAGCATTTTGCCAGTCAAAATGGGCTCCTGAGCTCAGTTTTCGGTTACAATGGCCTCCTGTAACCGTCTACCAGTAAAAATGGAGCTCGGGAGGGCCGCCCGTGGCCCCCCCAAGCTCAGTTTTCACTGGCAGAGGCACTGTGGGCCAGTCCTTAGCTGTTTCCAGGGTGGCCCTGAGGGCCAGATCTAAACACCCCGGATCTGACCCCTGGGCCTTGAGTTTGACACCCTTGATATAAAATCTAAAGGTTTTCCTGTCCAGTCACGTCCAATTCTAGGGTGTGTGTGTGTGATGCTCATCTCTGTTTCTTAGCAGTGTTCTCCGAGGACAATTTCTGTGGTCAGCACAGCTATATGCCAAAGGCACATGGAACGCTGTTACCTTCCCACAAAGTGGTACCTGTTTATCTATTCTCATTTGCATGCTTCCGAACTGCTAGGTGGGAGGATATTAGTTTTGCACAATTCATTTCTCTCTAGGGCTGCATGGATAAATGGATGAAGTCTCCGTTCTTCAAAATGCAATTTTTGAAATATTTAAAAAATGTAAATCGCTTTTAAGAGCAGTCCCAAAATTATCAGGAGTGTGATACTGTTGGGAATTGTTATGCATTTGGGATTATGGTTAGGAAGTTGCACTTGGCGTCCGTATCATACCAATTTACACTTAGCTGGTATATATTATTGGATTTTATTTCATATACCAATATTGTACACTTTGAGGAGCCGATTTAGTGTAGTTGTTAAGGCAGCACCTAGAAACTGGGACACTATGAGTTCTAGTCTTGCCTTAGGCATGAAGCCAGTTGGTGATCCTGGGCGAGTCATTTCCTCGGAAGGAGGCAATGGCGAACCACTTCCAAAATCACTCCAAGAAAATTGCAGGGACATGTCCAGGCCCAGGAGTGAAAAACTCACTCGGAGGAATGCGCACAAGAAGAGAATCTTGAAAGCTCTAAGCAGCTTCTACTCAAGTTACATGAAGGACTGCATTTTTGGGTTTGATCAGCTTTTTTTTGCATTCTCAACAGTAAATCTTACAAACCTACTTTACAAACCTACTACTGGTAGTAACAATCATTATCCTGTTGGCAGTGGTGGGCTGCAAATTTTTTAACAACCAGTTCTATGGCGGGGTAGGTGTGGCCAGTTGGTCATGTGACTGGGTGAATAACGTCACTCATCACACCCAGCTCTGCCTCCTGGCCACTCACCTCAAAGGAAGAGGTAGGATTCATCTAATTAGGGCTAATCTTAGCACTGGCTGGCCCCGTCCTACCCATTTTTCAGCCTGTTTGGGGGTCATTTTCTCGGCCATTTTAAGGGCCATTTTTCAGGCCATTTTCCAGGCCAAAAGTGGCCTGAAAACAACCTGAAAATGGCTCAAAAACAACCCTCAAAGTGGCCTGAAAACGCCCCCCAAAACAGGCTGAAATATGGGTGGGGGTGGGGCCAGCCAGTGGTGGGATTTGCCAGTTCACCAAACTGCGCCTAATCTTAACTGCCGGTTAACTATGCTTTAAAAAATTCATAGTTGATTATTTATTGTAACAACATATACAGGGAGATGTCTTGGGAGATTTTATTTTAAATGGCAGTCCACAAATCTTTTAAATAAATAAATAATTACAGACTACGAGAGAGGTAGCCAAAACAGTCTTTATAAAAGGAAACAACTTTGGAGAGTTAAGCTTTTGTTGTTGTTGTTGTTGTTCAGTGCAGCAGACATTTCAGGACATTTTAATCTGCAGCTCCGAATTGTTGGAAACAAAGGGGAAAACAACATCACCCAGCACCTAGCAAGCATGTTATTGGGACACAAAATAAAAGAAACCAAATAGCTCTACAGGGAAATAGAAGCATCAACCAGAACAGCTTCCCTGAACAAAAAGAATGGAAGCTGTATTGTTATGCAGCGAGAAGAATATGGATAAGATGCCACGGATAGGACCCTTTTAAACTCAAAAACGGTGCCTTTGGTGTATTTATTTGCAAGTTTTCCCACGAGACTATTAAGAGCTTGGTGGAGGTTTAATCACTTATCTTCGGGGGCGGGAGGAAGACAAAAAAATACTGATACAGGTAGCTCTATAATGACTATAACAGTCCAAAATTTTTGTTGCTAAGCAAGACAGCCGTTGAGTGAATTTTGCCCCATTTTACAACCTTTCCTGCCACAGTTGTTGAGCGACTCACTACGGTTAGTAATACGGTTGTTAAATGAATCTGGCTTCCCCATTCCTGACTTTGCTTGTCAGAAGGTGGCAGAAGGCAGTCCCATGACCCCGGGATATTGCAACCATCATAAATAGAAACCAGTTGCCAAGTGTCCACATTTTGATCATGTGACCATGAGGATGCTGTAACAACAGCAAGTGTGAAAACTGGTCATAAGTCAGTTTTTTCAGTGCCGTTGTAATTTCAAACAGCCACTAAACAAATGGTTGCAAATTGAATTATCTGGGGAAGCTGCACATCCTCTTCACGCAACCTGTTTTTCCTTGTTACCTTCTGGGAGGATGCTTCGTGGCAACCGAAGCAGAACATCCAAATTCAGCCAGAGTTTTGTTTCATATAGCATCAACCTTGTGAACTCTCAAGTTTCCTCCTATTGCTATGTATTCAAGATGGACAGTGATTAATATTTATATGTTAGGGTGTAGGTATATACAGTACATATGTATATTTGTAACATGTCTATACGTGTGTTATGTATGAGTACACTTTTGAGACCAGCCAACAGAATTTCATTTTTAATGTGTGCCCACAGAAAAAAATGACAATGAAGGTTACCTTAAGACTACCTGTAACTTCTATCACCTCACTTTATTTTGATAGTCCTTGACTTATGACTAATCACTTAATGACATTCAAAGTTACGATAGATCCGAAAAAGGGGACCCAGATCCAAAGTTACAAGGATCCATGGTCATGTGATTTAGCAATAGCAATAGCACTTAGACTTACATACCACTTTAAAGTGCTTTACAGCCCTCTCTAAGCGGTTTATAGAGTCAGCCTATTGCCCCCAACAATTTGGATCCTCATTTTACCCACCTTGGAAGGATGGAAGGCCGAGTCAACCTTGAGC